GTACTTGCACTAGTGGTGCTAATATTCTTGGTCGTCAAGATGTCGATCTTGACGGTGCACCTTGCATTTATTATTTTTCCCTCATGCGGTGCCGCCGTTTGTTCTTGGGACTTTCACATGTCCCCGCCACTTGTCCCGTTGGTGGTCCCCGACACTTAGTCCCGTCGGTGGTCCCCGACACTTAGTCCCGTCGGCGGTCCCCGACACCCGCCGGTGGCCCCCGATACTTAGTCCCGTCGGCGGTGCCCGACACATTTCGCCCTGGATGCCATTATTTTTACTTAGTCCCACGTGGCCTCGGGTGCCTTTCCCCGAGGTGTCTCATGCCCCTTGGGCGTCTTGTCGCCCCATAGCGACCCCTCTCCTTAGTCTTACCTTGCGTCTTGTGCGTGCCGATCTCTTTTGGTCGTGGGCCTCTGCTCCGAGGCTCCCCTAGGTGGCCTCCTTGTTGGCCCCTCATTTCCTGACTTCCCGCGGCTTCTGACCGCCCATCCCTCGACTTCCTCATTCCCTTATTGCTGTCGCGCTGCAATTGTTAGTTCAAAGGACCCTTTGGCCTTAGTCTTATTGCATTCCGATGGCCCTCCCGGCCTCCTGCTATGTTCTATGTGCCCCTGTTCTTGCGCTCGCTTGCTTGCCGTCGCTAGTTCTTTCCTCCTGTGGTTCTCTCCTCAGGGCATCACTCCCTTTTGCGGCCTAATCCTTTGTCTTTTCTCTCTCCTGCTTCCTCACTCCAGATTTCTCTGTTGTGCACAAATTGTCTGTATTCAATCTCTCGAGTGATGGGAAGTTATTCGGGACCCACCAGTCCCGACACCGGCGCATTGCAAAGGCCAAAGGGCATCACCACAAACTCGTACAAACCGTACCTGGTCTGAAACGCGGTTTTGTGTTGATCCTCAGGTCTTATGGCAATCTGATGGTAGCCGGATTTTTTATCTATCTTGGTATAGTACTTACATCCCTGCACCCTATCCAATAGGTCGTCAATGCATGGTAGAGGCTCAGCGTTCTTCACAGTGATGGCGAGGCCTCTATAATCAATGCACATCCTCAACGAACCCCCCTTTTTCGGTACAAATAAGACTGGTAGTCCGAAGGGGGAAGTACTAGGCTGTATCCATCCCTTCTTTGTAAATTCTTTCAGGTGTCGCCGAAGTTCGTCCAACTCGGCCGGAGCCATCCTATAGATCCTTCCCTTTGGGGTTTTACTCCCTGGAATGATTTCTATGGCGTGGACAATCTCCCTTTCTACGACTCCTGTAGGTTCCTCAAACAGATCAGGGAACTTAGCAATGACGTGTTCTATCTCTGGGGGTGTTTTAACGACCTCCCCTTTCTCAGAGACATACACTAGGTACATACGTTCCTCTTGGTTCTGTTTATAATAATTGTAGAACGCTGATGCGCACAAGCAGCCATAGGATTCTAGTAACCTACTAGCCTTGTACTTGGTCAGTCTCACGGTCCTCCCATCAGGCAACTTAGCTTGAGCACCTTCTTGTCCCAGTCAAACTGGGGCTTGGCAACCTCATGGTAGTACATTTCAAATAGCATATCAAATGGAACCAGGAACGAAATCTTGTGATTAAGTTCCCCTCCTCCATAGGAGAAGCTGCAGAGTACATCCTTGACAGAGTCGGTGATAACCATGCGCTCTTTATTGGCCAAAGTAGATGCTACTGGTCTACTTAGGTGTTGCACCTGGTCCTTTAGATGCAGCCTTTCCAAACAGTCGCGACTTATATAATTTCGGGTGGAGCCGATGTCTACGAAGGCACCACATTTGCGGCCTCCTACAACAACCTCCACTACGAAATGTTCTCCTCTAGGACCTGCACTTAGTGCCACCCAGGACTCGCGTGGATCACTATTCGACCATTCGCTTTGTAAGTCCTCTAAGGCTTCAGACACATCCAACGTACAAAGCATGGTTTGGTCTGGGTGTGTATGTGGGTTGACTAAAGAGTCATTAGCTATGGCCATCTCATGAAGTGGGGAGGGTATCTGGCCCACTTCACCATGAGTAGAAGCAGCTAAAACTTCCACCGGCCTCAAGTGTTTCCCGAGCTGGAACTGGTCCCAGCCTGAGAAGAAGCCACCCCTCCCTTAGGGGGTATCTTCTGCGTGACCTTTGCATTCTTGCACTTATACTGAGTGTGTCCGTATTCACCATAGTTAATGCAAGCACCGCGCACTCAGCGGTCCCGCCACACTTCCTGATCAAGATCACCTACCTTGACATAATCTGCTACTTTGGACTAATTGGAGGCGGCCTGCCCTTGACTCTTTTGATGGCCGCCTTTACTGTGGCCACCAGCCTTTGCCTTGACTACTGCGGCGAGGGTGCTACCCTCAGCGATTTCCTCGCCGTTGTACTCTAAATCGTCCATCAGGTCGGTAAGTTCTTCGATTTTAGCTTGAGTCTCATCAGACTCAACCATCATCAATCTACTACCCTTTTTTTTCCATTCTCGTGGACTCTTCTTCTTCCTCTCGTCTACTGGAGTAGGTTGAGCACTTCCTAGGGTAGCCTCCAAGTCTAAGGCCTTTCTAGAGGTGGTCTCAAAAGAATGATGCTCGAGGCGAGCCTCGCTCGCCAGTAAGGTTCTGAGATTCTCGAGCAGACATCTCAGAAACATGGTCAATAAGATCTGGTCATCATAGCGTATACCGGGAACAACGATGAGGTTCTCTACGGTAGACGTTAGCTCTCTGACAGACTTGTACCTTCGCTGGTCTAGTCTGAGCATTGCATTAGTGGCAATTTGTGCCTGCTGTGGATTATGCCAGCGAGCTTCTACCATATCCAAGAACTCTTCTAAAGTGAGGGTTTTACCCCAGTTTGCCATGCGTCGTCCGAACCCAGCCTTAGCTATTATCCCATCCAGGCATTTGGCTGCCTTACCCTCAAGGTAAGATGCAGCAGTAATCACCTCCTCCTCCTGCAACGTCCTTTTTGCCCTTACCCACATCGGAACCGTCCTCAACCAAGTGTTGAGTTCCTCGTCCTTCTTCTCACCGGAGAAAGCCAGGGGTGGCTTCATCGGAGTCTTTGGGTACCATGGACTTTGCTGCTGTCCCTGAGGTGGAACAGATTGTTGCGGCTATGGTGTAGCTCTAGCCGCTGGACCAGAGGAAGTAGAAGCAACAGTCTGTGCGGCTGCTGCAGACGTACCACTTGGTTGTGTGCCAGCTTGTACCGGAAAGGATCCTGACATCGCCGTAAACGGCAACGGCGACTGTGCTGCTGGCCATAATCCTGGCCTTTGCAAAAGAACCAAGATTTGGTCCAAGGAGTTCTGCATGAAGTCCAGCCTGCTGTCTACATGCGCATGCAGTGACAGTATGCTGGACCTTAACACTTTCATTGCCTCAGACATTGCTGACTCATCTAACCCCTCTAATGCATCCGCCTCTAACGTATCTAGCCTGCCTGTTCTATTTCTGATCTCATTTTCTCTATCGGTAGCTTGCTTCAGTTCCCTCTCTAACTGTGTGCGGATCCTCTCGACTTGTTGGAGCTCTTGTAGCTCTCTGCCGCGTGGGGTCAACGGACTGAATTGCGAGCCCGCCATTTGACTTGTGGACTGACTGGAACCTACTGATCCAGAAGTACCCATGGGCCCATGGGGCATCCCCAACTGGGTCCCAGACGAGGATGCAGCGGAGGATGCTGCCGCGGTAGCCATTGCTGCCGCGTTGGCTGTTGCTGCTGCCTGTTCCCTAGCTGCGGCGTTTGCTGCTGCTAATGCCTGACTTGTAGCTCGTGCTGTTTCCTCGGCTGCTGCGTAAGCACGGGCTCTAACTTCGGCACGAAGCCGTCTTTCGTCTCCCGACTGTAGGACCCGAAACACGTACGGGACCCTACGTGATCTCAAATGTGTCAGCCTCGCATCGTCAACTCTACCCTCATCGGAGTCTGACGCACTCATCAGCTAGGCAAACACTATCTGCACTACAACTCCCTGCTGGAGTCCTACCACAACATGTGTCTGACTGACACCTAATTTTCTAAAAATAGATATGTCCGGCAGGTCCCCTACTTAACCGATCGAGTGGCAGCCTACAACATTCACAAAGACTGTAAACACAATTTAATTTTATCCAGATTAGTTCACTTACAAAAGCTTTGCTTAGAACTGGCTTTGGTAGTATACAACAGTCCTAAACTAAGCTATTTGTGAGGTGTTAGCAGTCTGTCAACCAACTAATCAAAAATAAAACTAAATTATGTTGCAGATGTATGAACAGTGGAAATGGTTGTGTCTACAGTTGAGCATCAATTGGAACCTACCCTCCCCTCAATTCAACATTCCGATGAGCATCAATAAGCAGCAGTGTCTTAGGTGTGCAATGTCGGTCCACCCCTGTGCCCCAGGTGCATGCTTATGACCAGGCTTGCCCGTTATTTATCCTCGTGTGCAACGAGCCGTACGTCCGACTGATCTGGCTGATCAAGAGGCTATTTAAGGACTGCCCCCAAGGTCGCTCAGGAATTATTTAACGTCGCAATCAGGATGACGATCACAGCCAGTGGACAGATCGGAACCCGAACCAGAAATGTTTATAGACGGTCTGGGAGCGTCTTCATAAGCCTGTTCAGTCCACATTCACCCCTCTATCAGCGCAGCAAAGAGCCCCAATGGACAAAGCAGCCATCGCATGCGTGTACTAATCCCATTGGGTTGGCATGGTGACCGTGACCCACGTGCTTCGACCAAGGCCCTTCAGAGGCACCGCCCTTTCTCCTTCCAGATGCGCCACCGGGAAGATTGTCGTCTCTCAAGGTAGAGCGCTCATGACTCCTCACCAAAAGAGAGGACACTCAAGTTGGACTCACTTCCTCGCGGTAAGAAGAGATTGAGAGGGTAGATAAGGTAAGGAAACAACGTACCTGGAGATAGCTGCCCCCAACCACAGATTATTGAGCTGAATGTGCATTTGATGACCGGTCATAGCCTCGGTACCACCCACAATCGCAATGTAGTGCCACCTCAGCCAAATGTCAAATCAGCATGCTCTCATCACCCTACATACATTCCGCTGTCGCCAGAGCGTCCCAAGCTGTATAGAGCGCGCACCCCTCTACCTGGGCCATGCGCTATTTTGCCTAACATCACAAGCACCTACTGCGAAGAAGCATCACCAACGCACCAAGTCTGTATGTCGCCAGCGCACAAGGTAAGCGGCGAATCGAACCAGCTCCGATACCAAATTGCAAGGAACATGAGTGTGAACGAAGTACAGAAATCCAAATTGCAAATCACCCTGAAGTCCATGTAGTCAAGCAAAGAGCAGATAGCACATTGGAACCAAGAAACCATCCATTGAGAACAATACAGTAGAATCGAGAGTCAATGTCCAAGCCCGAAGGGCCACACCAACATCAGAACCCAATGTAGCTCTCACTTCGAATGGCGTCGGGCGCCCTATCTACTCTACAGCCTATCTCTACAACTACAACATGACGCGACCAGGACGCCTTGAAGACCAGCGTGCTTGACGTCAACACCAATGTCGACCTCCTCTCGCACACCGTAAGTACTCACTCGCTCCCATCTTCTCTTCCCTGACTCCCACTCATCATCTCCTTCTTCCAAAGACCACCTTCGCCCTCACCTCCTTCTGCGCCCTTCTGCAGCCCGACTATGGCTGCCAGCGCCTTGCACCCCAGCTGCGCCCTACCGCTTAGCGCCGGCCAGCTTTCTCTCAGCCAGAGCGTAGCGCAAGTGCCCGCGCTACAATGCAGCAGCGTGCCCGCAATGCCTGCATTGGCCAAGATGTCTGCCCACTCGCACATTCTGCCTATATACCCTGCTGCGTGTGGGCGGCCTCCCTTGAGCCTGCGTCTGGGCCCAGGCCCAATCACACGTGGGCCCCAGGTAATGCAGTTGCGCCCCTTATGCCAGGGCCATCGTACAGATTCAGACCCCGTTCCGGTTTCCCATTGGTTCGCCCGGCCTCTACGACACAATGCTGCTTTTCCATAGGCCAGCGTCCAATGTGTGATGTGTCGGCCTCCCAGACTGGTGCCCAGGGCTCAACCAACTGAGGCCCTGGCCTTAACTGCCTCTGCACGAGTCTGGGCTCACGATGCACTCCAACCAACTGGCGTGTGGCAACTGTCTGATACCCACTTCATGAAATGCTGAAAGGAAGGCCTCTTGTGGATATTCTGGCCCGCCTTCACTTAGGGCGGGCACGAGGCTTGTTGGGGTCCTTAGCCCAGAACACGTGAATGTCGGCAAGGCCCCATTGAGGGCTCAATCCTCACATTAGAAATTAGAATTAATTTTTGATATTTCCTTTTCGAAATTCAAAAATAATTTTAATTAATTAAATTTCCTCGTATTGCGAGGCACAAGGCCTCGATAAGCCCCACTGGGCCTTATTCGCAACAGCATCGGCCGCCCTAAGTTAAGGCCCTCAGAGGCCTATTTTGGACTCCTTCGCAACTGCGGAAATTCAGGCAGTTGCGCTGCGCCAGTTGGTTGGAAGCGCCCAGGCCTTGGCTTCCTTTATCAAATGCATCTGAGTCAGGCCCTGGTTGAGATTCGTAACATAGGCCCAACTCAGGTCGTGGGCAGTTGGGCACAGGTGACTGTCGGCAGCCCTGGGCCAATTCGTTTGGACTGGGCCTCAGCCTACCGGGGCCTACCGGAAGCTTCTTGGGAAAGGCCCAGCGCAGCCTGGGACAGAAGGCAGGCAGGCCACTTCCATATAGCAAAGGGCCTGCCTCCGCATTGGACATTCAGGGGCTGGCTGCATGCTGTGCAAGCGCTGCTGCTCTGAAGCTGGCCAACGCTCACGCGCTCACGGGCGAGCTGGAAGGAGCAGGCAGCCATAGCCGAGCTGCGCTGCTGGGAGCTGGGTGAGGCGCAGGGTGGTCCTTGGGTGCAAGTGGCATCTGTGAGTTGGTGAACGGGGTTGTGAGTGATACGAGAGACATACCTGGTGCTAGAAGCGACGGCATTTTCCGAGATCTGCTCGTACTTCGGTGAAGTTGTTGACGTCATCCGGCGACATTGTAGAGTAGGCTAGATAGGATCTGCCATCTGTAGTCTGGGCGCCGAGCGCCAGATAGGATATCAACATTGGTTCTCCATTGATGATGATGATGAGACTATACCAGCATTGTCAATTATGAGCTCTTGGTGTGTTCTTATTTGGTGAAACTCGTGATTCAATTCTGCTGTTGGTTCGAGGTCACGACTACCTGGTCTTGTATGTATGATGCTGTTTGATTTCTGAAGTTCGCTATTGCTCATCTTCCTTGCAATTTGGTATCGGAGCCGTGGTACGTTGCGCTCATCTGGCGCTTGTCTTATGCCTATGGTGGTGTGTAGTGAGGAGGGCGGAGACAAGGTGTGGTGACCCAGGAGGAGAGGGGAATCGCCAGGAAGGCTACGGTGTGTATATTGGGTGTTCGCAGTGTGATGAGAACTATCTGGTGGTTGATTGATGCTGAGGTGGAACGACGAGATAATGCTGGTTGTGCCGATGCAGTGACTGGACATCACAATCGCCATCAGGTCATCTGGTGAGAATATTTGTGGTTGGGGGCAGCTATAATGAGGTATGTTGCTCTTAACCTTATCTACCCTCTTCATAACTTCTTATTGTGAGGTTGTGAGTTCTTTCTTGAGAGTCCTCTCATGTGAGGTGTCGTGTGCGCTCAACCTTGAGAGTCGGCATTGTTCTTGTGGAGCATTTGGAAGGAGAGGGCGGTGCTTTCTGAAGGGCCCTGGACGGAGCACAAGGTCACGGTCACCATGCCAACCCACCGGGAGTAGAGCACGCATGCTTTGCTGCTTTGTCCTTGTCTGCTTGCTGCGCGCATAAAAGGGGTACCGAAGGGCAGGCCAGCCCTATGGGAGAGACGAGTACCGGGCGTCTATAAATAAACACCGGCTGGGGAAACCATTGGTTGTGATCGTCGTCTTGCTGCGACGTAAATCAGCCAATGGGTGTAAGGCTCGCTGCACGCGAGGATAAGGGCTGGCGAGCTCAGCAGCTACCCGGGGCACAGTGGTGGGTCGTGTGCACACCCTTAGTCACGCATGCCAAACCGGATTGCTCAGGGACGCTGACGTCAAGTGACAATCAAGGGGAATTGGGGAAGGGGTAGATTCCAGGTGATAAGTTTGAGTAAGATCCCATGCTGTGAACATACCAAACAAACGATTCTATTTTTATTTTGATTAGTTAGATGTACAGCCATTCACATCGGACAGACAACATTAGTTAGAACTGTTTTCTGTTACTTGTGCTTTCTGTTTGCGGACTAATCAAAGTGTAATAGTTTGCGTTTGTAGAAATTTGAACTTACTTGTTGAACCCGAATGTATAGTCTCTAACATAGCCACCAATTATTTATTTTAAGTTGGTCTGTGCATTACACTGCGGTAGGCATCTAGAGTGCACTAGTGCAGATTGTGTACAGTGTTGTAGCGTCTGAGCGACAGGGAGGACACTAGAGAGGACGACCGGATCTTGCGATCGACTAGACGTCCGATTGCCCATTTGGCCTTAGGACCAAAGGGCGACAGATACCTGTTCCGTCAGAGTAGGGAGAGGCTGCAGCAGCAGAGGAGAGCTAGAGCAACAGAGGCTAGCAGGGCGTTCGTGAGCGAAGCCGCAGCTTTGGTAGCCATGGCCACTTCTGCGCAGCAGAGTTCCCAGGCTAGCAGTTCAGGAGTTGTAGGGTCAACGGTCACGCAGACCCAGAGTTAGTCAACTAGCGTAATGGCGAGCCAGCCCTTAGTGATGACTCCCGAGGAGGTCGCCATACAGCGAGCTGTTGATCGAGAGGAACAACTACAACAGGCGTTGGGAGAGATTAAGGCTGAGAAAGAGAGAATGATTAGGAGAAGAGCCAAGATGCAGCGGAGGCAAGCGGACGTTAGTGAGTTAGAGGAGATGGACCCAGTAGAGATGGAGGATGATGTGAGGACCATACGGTCGGTCTTGTTAAGCGTAGTAGAAATGCAAGATCACCAAATGGAGATCTACATGACATCCAATAGAGTCTGGTTGTGTTAGTCAGGCGAATGCAGGTGTCACCATCACCGTCCGGGCCAGGTGCCTGGCCCGTTGTACATCCTCCTCCTTTTGTCCCACCGGCGACCGGGGTATCCCCATATACAGCCCCAGCATCGGTCTAGACCGTTTCCCTGGGCATGCCATTATCAGGAGGGTTCTCAGCAGGTCCTAGTTTACAGGTTCCTGTACAGACAATGTTCACCCAACCTCCGTCGCAGGTTGCAGTAAACGTGCAACCTGCTGTCTCGCAGCCTGTACAGTCACAGGGCACACAGCCCCTGCAGTTAGTGCAGCAGCCTGCACCACTGGGTCCACATCCCGAAGTGATGCAGGGACCGGGGCAAAGTCAATGGGTACCAAGGACGGCCATCGCCGCTCCTAAACCCTTCACAGGGGATAAGAGGGACGAAGACCTCGACACTTGGTTGAGGGCAGTGTCGGTCTATGTCAAGTGTAAACTTACCTTGCCGCACGAGGAAGTGTTTGTGGCTGCATCCTATTTAGAGGGGAGTGCAGCACGATGGTTGAGTGGTTTAGTGCAACTACAGGGGTACCGTCATGACTTTCACGCTTGGGCGGTCACCCAAAAACTGGATGACTTTCTCAAGTTGGTGGAAGACAGGTGGCACGATCCTCAGGAGGCCCAAAAGGCCACTGATGCGATCTTGACACTGCACACGAGGCAGTTCAAGTCAGTAAGGGAGGCCACTGACGCTGTAGAGCGTCTGATCTGTGTCCCTGGGGTTCGCTATGACCCCCAGGTCTTACTCACCTCCTACTTGAGATGCTTTCCCATGCCCCTCAGGAATCAGTTGGCGGGTGAGGCCAACATTAACATGCACAACTTTCCCTCGTTCAGTACAAAGGCCCTAGACCTTGAGGCAAAGATAGGGCATGGACATAATCCCACGACGGATGGTAGGAAGAAGACAAGGCCTCACAACTGGAAGGCGAAGGGACGTATTATGTTCGTCGACAATGATGGTTCTACCATCAAGTTGGACGACGAGTTCCAGGCGGGAGTAGGTTCAGAGGCTGGCAGCGTAGAAGCTTCAGGGGGTGGAGTAGTCGCTGTCGTAGCTCAAAAAGGTAAGGCAACCGGTAGACGCCGTGGAGGTTCCCGGTCAAGGAGTCAAGTTGACCCCAATGCTCCTCCATGGGAGAAAGCGGGTCTCACTGAGGACGTGTGGAGAGATCGGTATACAAGGCAGGCTTGCATCCGTTGTGGCCAATATGGCCATAACCAATTCAAGTGCCGAAATAAAAAGGTAACCGAAAAGATCCCGCCTACGATGGTGCAGGCGGTGGGATCCTCCGCTCCCGTTGGTAGCCATGTGGCTAGCACTTCTGGCACTGCACCGGGAAACACGTCGGACCAGTAGGAATAGTAGTTGTTCGTGCAGGGGTGGAGGTGGTGGACACACCCTCACCATCTCGAGAGATGGCCCAAGCTACTGGCTCCACCGTCGTCCCACAAACACATTCAGACCCATCGACCCTCTGTTCGATGAATGTGTTTGACTCCTTAGAGGAGCTACAGGAGGAGTGGTCTAGGTCAGGCCCACTAGCTTCTTGGACGACGCTAGTCAAAGCTCCTAAGGGTGAGATGTTCGTCAGCGAGGTAGTCATCGGCGGCCGCAAGGCCGGGGCCTATTATGACACTTGCTCGACACGGAACTTCATTAGTCGCGCGTGCGTTGAGAGGCTGCGCTTACAGGGGCAAGTGCAGCGCCTGAGTCGACATGTGGAGTCAACCTGTGCCAACAAACAGCGCATGGTAGTCAACGACTACCTCCAAGATGTTGAGTGTTGTTTCCCATACGCGGGAGGGGAACTAAGACATCGAGTCTCGTTCCTAGTGAGCGATGAACTCCCCATGGATATGTTGTTAGGTATGTACTACCTCTCTGTGGCACAACCCCAGTTTGACTGGAACTGAAAAGTGGTCAAACACACTTTGCCAGGTGGGGGGACCGCCATATTACGTAAGTTCAAAGCTAGTAGTCTGATCGAGTCCCACGGATGCATGTGTGCGGCCGCGTTCTATAATTACTATAAGCAAAATCAGGAGGAGGGTATGTATCTAGTTTATGTCTCTGCTGCAGGCGAGCCGGTGAAAATGCTGTCGGAGATAGAGGGAGTAGTTGCTAAATACCCTGATCTATTTGAAGAGCCGACAGGGGTTGTTGAGAGGGAGGTCGTCCACGCGATAGAGATTATCCCAAGGTCTAGCATCCCGAAGGGTAGGATCTATCGGATGTCTCCAAGCGAGCTTGACGAGCTTCGCCGGCAACTCAAGGAACTCGTAGAAAAGGGTTGGATCCGGCCGAGTGTTTCTCCTTATGGTTCACCAGTCCTATTCGTACCAAAGAAGAAGGAAGGAACACTTAGGATGTGCATTGACTATACGGGCCTCCATACCATCACTGTCAAAAACAGCGAGCCCCTACCGCGCATCGACGACTTGCTAGATAGAGTGCAAGGGTGTCGGTACTTCAGTAAGATAGATTTGAAGTCCGGGTACCATCAGATTGTAATCCGGCCCGAGGATCAACACAAAACCGCTTTTCAGACCAGGTACGGTCTGTACGAGTTTGTGGTGATGCCTTTCAGCCTTTGCAATGCTCCTGGCACCTTTCATCACGCTATGAATCGGATATTTCATGACTACTTGGATAAGTTTGTCATCGTGTACCTCGATGACATACTTATTTTTAGTAAGACTGTCGAGGAGCACGTTGCGCACTTGGACAAACTCCTAAGTCTTCTGCAACATCACAACTTCAAGATCAACGGTGAGAAGTGCGAGTTTGGCCGCACCCATGTGTTGTACTTGGGTCATGAGATTTTTGCGGAGGGATTAAAGCCTGATGACACGAAGGTGGCCAGCATTCGTGACTGGCCGCGTCCTCAGTCTATGACTGAGATGAGGTCTTTCTTAGGGATGACCGGCCACTATCGCAATTTCGTGAAGAACTATAGCATAGTTGCCGCCCGTTTGACTGACCTGACTCGCCTTGACACCCCATGGGAGTGGACAGACAGATGCGAGGCTGCGTTCAGACATCTGAAGCATGCGTTGACGCATCATGAGGTCTTGAAACTTCCTGATCCTGACAAGCCATTTGTAGTAACTACGGATGCTAGCCAATATGGCATAAGGGTCGTACTTGCGCAGCAGGAGGGGAAGAAGTTGAGGCCAGCAGAGTACATGTCCAAAAAGATGCCCTCTCAGAAGTTGGCTAAATCCACCTATGAGAAGGAACTCTATGTGATCTACAAAGCGCTCACCCATTGGAGACACTATCTCCTTGGGAGGTTCTTCTACGTCAGGACTGATCACCAGACCCTGAAGTGGATGAGAACCCAGCCTATGCTCTCTGGCGCTTTGAAGCGTTGGATTGAAGTCATAGAGGAGTATGACTTTGAGCCCCAGTACATCAAGGGCGAGTACAACAAGGTTGCTGATGCGCTGTCGCGTAGACCAGATTTCTCTGGTGCGCTGATCACTGAATTTGGGCTTGCGGACGATGTTACTCAGTCTATGGTGGAAGCCTATCGCGAGGACCGGTTTATGTCAGAGATCATACGCAGACTTGAGGCGAAGGACAAGGTGACTTCTGCTGAGTTTGAGTTGGTCAACGGACTGCTGTTCCTTGAGAATGAAGGGAATAAACGTCTGTGTGTACCAAATTGAGAGTCTTTGCGTAGTTTATTTTTAGGAGAGTGTCATTGTGCCACCAACCATTTTGGTTTCAAGAAGACTGCAGCCAATTTGTTGCAGCGGTTCTGGTGGCCCATGATGATGAGAGATGCCAAGCTGTACGTGGAGACTTGTTAGGTCTGTTAGAGAGACGAGCCCCGTACACAGGTCCCTCTTGGGCTCCTGAAGCCCCTTCCGATTTCGGAAAGGCCTGGAGAGAGCCTGTCCATGGACTGCATGGATACGCTGGTCACCAACAAGAGTGGAATGAGACACATCTTTGTTATCGTGGATAGGTTTAGTAAGTACGCTAGGTTAATTGCAATGCCGGAGACAGCGAAGACTGAGCAGGTGATTAAGCTGTTTAAAGAGAACTGGGTTAGAGATTTTGGATTGCCAAAATCTATAGTCAGTGACCGTGATGTGCGATTCACAAGTGAACTGTGGAAAGCCGCAGCCGCAGAACAAGGAACGCAGCTGCAGATGACATCAGGAAACCATCCCAAGGCGAATGGTCAAGCAGAACAGTTGAACCGCGCTGTACAGCACCTGCTGAGGCATTACATCAAGCCGAATCAGGTAGACTGGGATGAGAAACTTGCTCTCATTGCCAGCCTGTACAACAACGGAGTTCATAGCACAACGGGCCTGACCCCGAATAGTCTGCTATTAACCTTTAAGCCTAGACTGCCCCTAGATTTCTTACTACCTGACAACCAGCCCCCTGCTGCACCAAGGACTTCAGAGTTTGCTTATCGATATGAGCAACTGATGCAGCAGGCTGTTGAGCAAATGCACAAAGCACAGGCGGCAATGATAGAGTCTGAGAACAAACACCGCCGCCCATCCACGTTTCAGGTAGGAGAGAGAGTCTGGGTCAAGTCTTCAGAACTGGGACAAGAGCATGGGATCTCCCGCAAGCTCATGCCACAATACTTTGGACGATGGGAGATTCTGGATGTTTTGGGGAATGAACCAGATGGGCCATCTTATGTTGTTTGCATCCCTGGTCGCTTACGCACTTACCCTGTTTTTCACGCTTCAAAGCTTGCACCTTTTAAAGAAACAGATCAGTTCCCATCTCGTCGCTCAATGCTACCCCCAACCATGGATGGAAAGGTCGACATCGATGATATTGTTGACCACCGGGAGATGCCAGTTCCAAGACTAACAGGCAGAGGACGTCCTCCGAAACCGAAGCTGCAGTATCGAGTTCGGTTCAGACATCACACTGATCCAAAGGAGGACAGATGGTTCACAAGGGAGGAACTGATGCAGACCGCTCCACAAGTAGTCGCCCACTATGAGAAGTCCTTATGAAAAGGAAAGCGCCAGATTATCAAAGACTGAACGTCTCAGAGGACTAGCGAAGTATGGAGGAGGGAATGCGAGGCACAAGGCCTCGATAACCCCCACTGGCCCTATTTGCAACAGCGTCGGCCGCCCTAAGTGAAGGCAGGCCCGATAGACCGTCAGAGGCCTATTTTGGACTACTTCGCAACTAGGGAAATTCAGGCAGTTGTGCTGGGCCAATTGGTTGGAAGAGCCCAGGCCCTGGCTTCCTTTATCAAATGCATTTGAGTCAGGCCCTGGTTGAGATTCGTAACATAGGCCCAACTCAGGTCGCAGGCAGTTGGGCACAGGTGACTGTCGGCAGCCCTGGGCCAATTCGTTTGGACTGGGCCTCAGCCTATCGGGGCCTACCGGAAGCTTCTTGGGAAAGGCCCAACTCAGCCTGGGACAGAAGGCAGCCAGGCCACTTCCATATAGTAAAGGGCCTGCCTCTGCATTGGACATTCGGGGGCTGGTTGCATGCTGCGCAAGCGCTGCTGCACTGAAGCTGGCTAGCGCTCACGCGCTCACGGTCGAGCTGGAAGGAGCAGGCAGCCATAGCCGAGCTGCGCTGCGGGGAGCTGGGTGAGGCACAGGGTGGTCCTTGGGTGCAAGTGGCATCTTTGAGTTGGGGAACGGGGTTGTGAGTGATACGAGAGACATACCTGGTGCTAGAAGCGACGACATTTTCCGATATCTGACCGTACTTCGGTGAAGCTGTTGACGTCATCCGGCGGCATTGTAGAGTAGGCTAGATAGGATCTGCCATCTGTAGTCTGGGCGTCGAGCGCCAGATAGGATATCAACATTGGTTCTTCATTGATGATGATGATGAGAACATACCAGTATTGTCAATTATGAGCTCTTGGTGTGTTCTTATTTGGTGAAACTCGTGATGCAATTCAGTTGTTGGTTCGAGGTCACGACTACCTGGTCTTGTATGGATGATGCTATTTGATTTCTAAAGTTCGCTTTCCCTCATCTTCCTTGCAATATATTTTAATTCCTAAAATTCCTTTTTGCAATTTTTCTTGAAATTCGAAAAATTCTTTTCGCAATTCTTTTTCGAAATTCTCTTTTTATTCAGAACACGAAGGTAAATCCGAATAAATTTCGTCAGAATTTATTTTTCTCGGATTTTTTTTTTTCATTTGGAAATTCCTTTTTTTTTTTTTTTTTTTTTTTTTTTTTGAACACAACCCTTGCCAATGCTAGTGCTGCTGATACGAGAAGTCACCACTAGCACCCAGGGGGAGGCTCCATCTATTGGTGGGGAGCATCACCTGCTGGAAAGCGGGTCCAGCATCCCATATACAGAGTCATGGTTATGAGGTCTGCCAGCATTGATTGCCCTGTCTTCCAGGGGATTGACTGAGCAGGTGTGTGCATCCCAAGTGACTAGTTGGAGAGTAATTAAGCCTTTGTCCTCCGTATCTCTTGACACAGATGACCCATTGAGCACTGATACCTCTTCGAGGAGAACTCTCTCTGGCTGTTTTTTGTTGTCAAAGTTAGCAGGAACCCTCCCCGGGGGCAGCAGGGAGGGTTCCTTTTTCTGCAGATCAAGACAGTTCAAAAAGACAGTATCTCAACCAGTGACAGGTTATGTGGTGGAAAAGGGTCTTGGAAGTCAGAGGGAGGGCGTAGCGCGAATGAAGGTTCTATATTAGTCCAGTCCTTAAAAATCAAACGATAATCTCTCATTTCGTCTTATTCCCGTGTCTCTTCTCTTCTGTCCCCGTTCCACTCTACTTCTGCTATCCAGCCCTCTCTTTCCCCACCTATCCAATCCGTGCAGAAGCTTGTGATCTGTCCCCTAATGTCCCCTGTTTGTTTAAACCACTAGTACCTTGCCCAGTGTTGGGAAATTAGGGAAAACTGGCAGTTTTCCCAAACTCCTGAAAATTCGGAGGCTGGGCCCGACGATGGCTGCCATTGATAAATCTTTTTTTTTTTTTTTTTTAAAGGGCCCTGTGCCTTAGGCTGGTAAAAAGATTGAGGCCAGGGTCCTTACAGTCTACCTGGAGTGACCGAACAAAGACAGATCATGTTGAGAAGCGGGCTCATCGTCCCAATTCCTGTGGAAACTATGATCACTTGAGAAACAAATCATGCTGAGAACCGGGCTCTGCGTCCTAAATCTTGTGAAAACTTATGAAAACTTGTGACAAATCCGAGATATCCCTATTATTTTTTAAAACACCTATGCTGCTACCTTTGTGCTGGTAAAGGTGCTAACTCTAATCTTGAAGATGGACATGCATCTTCAACCACGAAATCTGACCGCCTGAAAAGAGTGATTTATCTAGCTTCCATCTTCCTAGATCTCCTACTTATCTAGCTCTTAAGCATATCCTTCCTCTCCCCCCCAAACCACTCCAGATCCACCAAAGCAAGTGTAGAGGGAGGGAACAGGTCAGAAAAATACTCAAGTGATCTCAAAGAAGCTCCTGGTCAAATGTCAAACCAGCTTTGAAAGGTGATCTGGTAATCCCGCTTAAGAGGTGCTTGATCCCCTCCCCCTCTTGGCCACACCACCTCTCCCAGTTTCTCCCCTGGTGCATCCCCAAGCCAGTCCAGATTGAATTGCGAAATTCTTTGTTTGATATCCTTTTTCTGTTTGAACTCGATAAGCTTTATTTTCATCGTTTCCCATTGAGTTCTAATTTCAGTTTGGACAAAATGTTGGATTATTTCTGCCATCTCTTGTTTTTCCATTTTAACTCCCTCCATAATGCTCCATTGTATTAACACATCGTTTATGCCACAAGGCCCACAAGACCGCTTTCCTACCCAAACGGAAGAGGTTTTGTTGAAAAACAGTTAACTCTATTAACACAGGATTCCAATGCCCCAGGAGGATAGCCCTCCAGTCCCATGGCCAATCCAGGCCTGTTAGCCTTCTCCACACGTAATCCGAACGACGCCAAAGCAATATTGAACCTGGGCATTGCAGAAAGACATGTTCTATTGTTTCTCTTATCTTCCTACTGCGAAAAGCCTATACACAGGAATTGCACCATGGCAAAGCTATACCTTTTTGTTCCAGTGTAGAGTGATTTATTAACCAATCATTTGTGGGTAAACATTTGTGCATTATTTGCCATTGTAGGGACGCGAACTTAGCAGACCTCTCCCTGAATCCTTGGCACCACTTTACTGGTTTGAGTAGTTTTTTGTATATGTTTAGGTGTCTATGCTATCGGTCTTGTATGATTTCTGCGACCTCTATTTTAGGGCGCAGCAAACTGTAAGATGCCTTTACTGACAAAGACTGTAATCTTAGGGGTTTACTCCTCCTATTTATACGCCATACCCACTCCGCTGGGTCTAAGGGGAGGTCCAGAACGGGAATATTAGGGAGGAACATTGTCCATCGCAATATAGTGCCCTCACTCTATACATTTCATTGAAGTATGAAAAAATTACCTTGTCCTGATCCTTGTTGTATATCTTATTGTCGCTTTGAAAATATTCACTAGAGCTCCCTCCTCGTAGACATCCAAAATTTGACCCACTGACTTGGATCCATCTTGTAGATTTATACATACCCAGTCTGCTATCCGGAATACTGGACCTCTTTTAAGGACCACTATCCACGCCAGAGGAATAGATGAAATAATTTCTTCCAAATTATCAAGTAAATTGTGTGCATACTTTATTTCTTTTCTAAGTTTTTCCTGTTGTCTTCCAATTCTTATTTACCGGGTCCCATAGATCTTTCACTCTTATTATTCCATGCTTGACCCATGTAGACCAAGGGGAGTCCGAGCTTATGAAAATCCTGCCATTTCGATCAGTGAGCCATCTGTTGCCAAAAAGAGGTTGACGTAAGACTTCCTCAAACCTTGCAGGTGTGGCCTTGTTTGGTAAAGGCAATTCACGTCAGGTTTTCAAAAGACTTGACCAAAAGTCATCTGATTGTAGATCTCTCTTGGCTTCCCCTCTCACCCTTGACCCTGTATAATGCGTTTGAGAGCGAGGAATAGTCCAAAACCTATCCTCCACCCATGTCAAGGGATGCACCTCCTCAGTGGTGTGGGGAGCCAGTCTACGAATTTGCTCCAACGCCAAGTCTCGCCATGGGAGATCCGTGGTTAGAATTAAACGTTTAACTACTTGGAGCGCCAAAGCTTGACATTGAATTTTTGGATCGATAAGCCTTATACCTCCTTTAGTCCTTGGCTGGATTAAAGTCTTTCAGGCTACCCTTGGGATCACGTGTGGTGTTTCATGATCTCCACGCCAGAGGAAAGCTGTAAGTTGTTTTTCGAAATCCTTTGTAGACTTCTTGTTTAGTGACCACGGGAAGGATTTGTACCATATCGAGGCCAACACCACGTTATTAATTATTAGTGCTCTATCAAAAATTGATGTATGTTTATTCTTCCATAGTTTCATTTTGTCTAGCGCCGGAGAAGAAATCCATAAATCATTTGAACTTGGCTTCCCTTGAGCGGTGAGAATAACTCCTAAGACCCTAATAGGTGCTTCTAAAGGAACCCATTTAATTGTGGGAGATTCCAGAGGTCTAATCCCTTGTGAGTGAATCCACCAACCTTGCGTTTTATTCCCCCAATTGACTATCATATCAGATAAAGCAGAGAATTTGTCCATTATTGCTAGGGAGATATCCCCGGCGCCCGGGTCCCGATGTCACGCCCGGATTGGCAACCGGGTGACCGGCCGGGCATGACCCCTGGGCATGGCCCCGGACAGCCTTAGCGCAAAAAAAAAAAAAAAAAAAAAATCAAATCCAAAAACATCTGAAAAAAGAAATATGTCGTGTAGAATTGCAATACAAACAACTTTTGGCTGAGTGTCACATCAGAATTCCTCACAGAACTAAAGATAAAAAAGAAAATAACCATATCACACTAAGGCACCCCCCTTTAAACCCCTTTAGCCCCTTTAAAWTTCATTTACACTCCCCTTTCCCCCCCTTGACAGCCAACACTCARAAAAAGAAAAGAGCCCGGATTTGGGCTCCTCTCGGAGAGCGCGGAAAAACCCCCCCGCCTTTTTTTTTTTTTTTTTTTTTTCCATGACCGGGTCACTCGGGGGTCAGACCTCCCCGG